TGCTGGGGACAGAACGGAGTCAGCCAGTTGCCTTCCCCACTGTCCTACGTCTGTGGTCCCAGAGGAGGACCGTGGCTGTGAGTTCTCTAGGAAGGTGTGTTCTAACCTCCCCTTAACCTCCCACTAGTGCTTTATTTTCTTAATTAAAATCTTTTTGGACCTATGGAAGTTTGTTAAAGTTCAACCTCAGCTAACTTTTATCTCCTGATGCTCCATGTCGGTCGATGCCCTTCAAACGCTTCACGGCCTGACCACCCATGTGCCCTTGGCCTTTCTCTGTGCCCTCAGTGCTTGAAGCACAGAGTCTATTTGTGTCCGGCAGAAACCCAAACACATGAGGTCACGGAGTGCCATCCTTTTCCCTAGTGTCATCCCCTCCTCCCTCTTTGTCCTGAGTCTGGCCATGAGTGGGAGGGGTGCTGTGTGTCAGCTGGGCCGCTGAGGTGGCCAGAGAGGTCTCATTCCTGGCTCTGTGCCGTGGGTGGCGCCCTGTCCGTGGGAGTGGACACGGGCCTGTCAAACTATTCCCAGGGCCAGTCTGGGCCCGAACCTCTGACACCAGGCTTGGATGTTTGGAGCAGGGACAGGCAGGGGAACTATGAGAAGCCCATGCCTCTCTTAAGCCCGCCCCAGCTTCAGACAGACACACAGCACTGGCGGTGGGAAACGTACACTGGGGAAGGGCATTGGAACAGCGTCTGGCTGAAACCCGAGATCGACTGTATATCTCACGGCGATTCAATTAAAAAAATAAAAATAAAAAAGGACACACCAGCTGTGGGTGAGGGACTGAAGCAGATGGCACCCTAGTGAAATGTTGTTTTGATTTTCTTGGTATTTGGGCCACACCCTGCGGCTCTTACGGTTGCTCTCTGCTATGTACTTGGGGTTGCTCTTGCTGGTGCTCAGGGGATCGTGCAGTGCCAGGACCCACGCAAGTACGCATTCCATTCACAGCCACCTCCCTCCCCTCCCCCCAGGTGAGAAGGAAAAAGTCTTCTTTCTTATTTTGGTTTTGTTTTACTTTGGGGCCCCTTCTGGCTGTGCTCAGGGCTTACACCTGGCTCTCTGCGCTCAGGGATCTACTCCTGGTGGTGCCTGGGGGACCACGTCTGTGGGCATGGGGTTGGGGGTGCATATGAGACGCCAGGGGTCAAACCTGGGTCAGCCACTTGTCAGGAAAATGCCCGAACCCTGTAGTAGTATCGCTCTGGCCCAATTGTGTCATGATTAGGCTCAAATCTTTATTTGGGGTGGTGCTGGCAGTGCTCCGGGTTTACTTCTGCCCTGCGCCAGGGATGGCTCCTGGCAGGGCTCAGGGGACTATATGTGTGCTGGGACCTGGGGCAGCATCGAGCAATATTGGCGGTGACTTCTGCTTATTACCTATCAACCTGAAACGCAGCCTCCATTTCTCAAAATCCTCTGAAGACTGCTTTGCCCTGGGCGAATGCAAAGTAAATTGCTCAGAGCCTGTGCTCGTGATCTGCTTGGTTTAACCATGTTGGTTGTCCCATCACCCCTCACCCCTCTTGTGCCTTCCTGAAATATTCCGCTTCGGGCCAGGCACAGTTCTGCCCTCTCCTTGGGAACGCTCTTTCCCTGCCTGCGTTCCCTCCCCTGCCTGTCAGATCTGATTTAGAGCCCGGTTCACTGCACCTCCTTCTCCCCCTCTTAGGGAAATGGCTTTCTCCTCAGACCTCCCAAGCATTTGACTTCCTTTTCAGCATTTCTCGTGCTGTGCCTTGGGGTGAGTCTCATCAGAGAACCCTCTGTAACGCCTGTACACGCTGGACACAGAGTTCTCAGTAAATCTTTATGGTCATGGCTGGCGCCTTGAGGTTGGATGACGTTAATAGATCATCAAGAAAGGGAAATGGGGGGGGGTGGTTGTGAGGAGACACAGCACAGCAGGTAGGGTGCTTGCCTTGCAAGCAGCCAACCTGGGTTCAGTCCCCAGCGCCTCAGCCCCCTGAGACCCTGGTAGCTTAACCCTCTGAGACTGGCAGTGGTTCGAGTGATTTCTGGATTGCCCCACAACAAAGGGAGGTGACCCTTGCCCAGCACCTCCCGAGAAGCCTTATGGGGACCGTGGTCAGGACGCCTGTCCCTGGGAGAGTGCCGGTGAGCCCTGCAGCAACTCTAGCAGCCCGTGGGGGAACCTGGGCAGTGAGTGAGCAGCAGTTAAGTTGCAGAGCCGAAATGGGTGACACCAAGCCTGGCCGTGAGGGAGTCCCAGTCATCTTTCCTTTATTCTTTCTGTCACTGCCAAGTGGGCTGAAGCGATAGCACAACGATAGGGCGTTTGCCTTGCATGTGACTGACTTGGCCAACCTGGGTTCGATTCCTCTGCCACTCTTGGAGAGCCCGGCAAGCTACTGAGAGTATCTCGCCCGCACAGCAAAGCCTGGCAAGCTACCCGTGACGTATTTGATATGCCAAAAACAGTAACAACAAGTCTCACAATGGAGACGTTACTGGGCCTGCTTGAGCAAATTGTTGAACAACAAGAGGACAGTGCTACGGTGCTACAGTCACTGCCAAGTATTTCCAAGTCCCCAAATAAGGCTTTCCCACCCAGCAGCCACCTTTAGCTGCAAGCCCGAGGCTTGTCTGACTTCCTGCTCGTGAATGGAGGCCCTGTGGACTCCCAAACCTCACAAACTCCCATTCCAGGCACCTCCTGAAACTTCCTGCTTCTGCAGTGACTGTGGAGGAGATCAGGGAAACCCATGACTGTGCTGCCTACCCTGAAGCGGGTTATTGGAAACCAAGGTCGGGGAAAATCTGAGTGAGGCGAGAAGGCTGGGCTGAGTGAGGCAGTGGTGGGCAGAAACAGCCAGGAGACAGCAGGGGTGGGAGGGGAGATGATCTGGGTGACAGTTTGTTGGGAGACGAAGGAGTGGAGTGGGACTTTGCTAGGAATGCCTTGAAATGTGTTACACCTGAAGTCAGTGCAACTGGCAATGATGTAATGTTGCTGGATTTCTTCTTTTTTTTTTTTTAAATTAAATGTCCTTGTTTATTTTCATTGAATTGCCCGGAGATACAGTTACAAAGGTGTTCATGATCAGGTTTCAGTCATACAATGTTCCAACACCCATCCCTTCACCAGTGTACATTTACCACCAATGTCCTCAGTTCTGTTCCCCCCTCCCACCCACTCTCTCTCTCTCTCCCTCCCTTCCTTCCTCTCTCTTTCCTTTTGTGCCTTATAGTTTGCAATACAGGTCCTGAAAGGTTATCATGTATATCTCTTTGCAGCTGAATTTCAAGATCTACTGAGCGTGTGTAGCTTGAGCTGGAGCTTAGAGATCAGGTGGGAATCATATCCAAGATGGGTGTCCTATGGATCTGGAAGAAGTAAGAGATACAATAAAAGCCCTGAATGGGAGTTGGTAAATCTACATTCTAGTCTCGCTATTGTGGGACCTTTAATGAGTCACTCTTTTGCTCTGGACTCTGCCTTAAGAGTGAAACCTGCAGGGACCAGAGCCATAGTTCAGCGGGTAGAGCACTTACCTTGCATGCAGCCACCCTCGTTCTGCATCCCTTAGGCTCCCCTGAGCCTGCCAGAAGTGATTCCTGAGCCCAGAGGTAGGAGTTACCCAAGAGCACTGCTGGGTGAGGTCCCCCCCTAAAACAACTCCCCACCAAAAGAGAGTTAAAACCGGTGAATCTTCAAAGAGAACGTTTTCAATCTGATGGATCAAAAGCCAGTTAAGGACCAGAGAGATAGTTCAGGCCTTGCCTGGCTCGCAGCTAACCTAACTCATCCTTCCACACCACATGTGGTCCCCCAGTACCACCAGGGTTCACTCCTGAGCAAGATGTGTTGTCCTACCTCCAACCCCCTCCCCCAACGAACAAAAAACCTTGGGAACTGGCCTAGTTAATGAACATTTGGAACAATGAGTGTCTGCGTGCCCAGAGATGACCGCGGTAGACTGAAGGAAGAGGTTTCAGCCTAGGAAAAACTAGGAACTGGGTGGGGCAGGGAGGCCCGCAGTCCCTGCACTCCAGTTTGGCAACTCACCAGTTCCTCCTTCTCTCCCTCAGTCCCGCCTTATTTGGTGAGGGCAGGGCCACGCGGGGCTGTTCCCCACCTGCCTCATCACCCACAAACCACGGTAGCCTTCCTCTTTTGGGTCCCCCAAAGAGCATTCGCTCCCCCCGCGCACCTGGTGCCACCCACGCTCCTGTCCCTGCAGGGCAATGAATGCACGACAGCCCCCAGGAGAGCGCAGCGATGGGGGTCGTGCTGGGCCTCGCCGCCGACGGTTACCGTTTACCGAGAACCCACCGCGTGCCCGCCCTCCCCCACCCCGCTTTCAGACCCGCCGCTGCGCCCATCCGTGGCAGCTCGGCCAGGTGGCCCGGTCCCCCGCGCAGGTGGACACACTGAGCCTAAAGGCACGCCGGGCGTCTGCGCTAGGCCCCACCGGCTAGGTGGGCGACGGGAGTCGGGTCGGGGCGGGGCGGGCTGGGTGACCCTGGGTGGCGGGAACTCGGTCTCGCACCTACCGCCCCTCGGACCGGGACTCCCGGAGCTCGGACACTGCCCGGCGCCGGCAGGAGGCTGGCCGGGGCGTGGCTGGCGCCTGCAGGTGGCAAGGCGGGGCGTGGCGACCGGGGGCGTGGCCGGTGCCGGGAGAGGCGTGGCGTGGCGACCGGGGGCGTGGCTGGCGCAGGTGCCGGGAGAGGCGGGGCATGGTGGCCGGGGGCGTGGCCGTAGCCGGGGGAGGCGGGACCTGGCGCCCGGGGGCGTGGCCGTAGCCGGGGGAGGCGGGACCTGGCGCCCGGGGGCGTGGCCGTAGCCGGGAGAGGCGGGGCGTGGCCAGCGCCGGCAGGTGGCGGGGCGGGGCGAGGCGGGCGGGACGGGGCCGGCGCCCGCAGGTGGCGGGGCGGGGGCGAGGCTTCGGGGGCGTGGCCGGCGCCGGGGAGGCGTGGCCGGCCGGGGGCGTGGCCGGAAGCCTTAAGGCGGCCGGGGAGGCGCGGTGGCCGCAGAGGCCGCGGCCCGGGGCTCTGGTCTCCTCCAGCCGGGAGCGGAGCGCGGCGCGCGAGCCCACCATGTCCCTGGCGGCGGCGGCGGCGGCGCGGGGCCCGGGGGCCGTGTGGTCCCCGACCCACGTCCAGGTGACGGTGCTGCAGGCGCGGGGCCTGCGGGCCAAGGGGCCGGGGGGCACGAGCGACGCGTACGCGGTGATCCAGGTGGGCAAGGAGAAGTACGCCACGTCGGTGTCCGAGCGCAGCCTGGGCGCGCCCGTGTGGCGCGAGGAGGCCACCTTCGAGCTGCCGCCGCTGCTGTCCGACGGGGCCGCCGCCACCCTGCAGCTCACCGTGCTGCACCGCGCGCTGCTCGGCCTCGACAAGTTCCTGGGCCGCGCCGAGGTGGACCTGCGGGAGCTGCACCGCGCCCAGGGCCGCAGGAGGACGCAGTGAGTGGCCCGGGCCGAGGGCGCGTGGTCTGCGGAGTGGCCTCCCCCACCTCCCCCCGCGAGGGCCTGAGCCCGAGGGCTCTTAGGAAACGTGCTCTGGCCGAGCAGGACCTGGCGGGGTGCAGGCGCGGCACTGGGGGTGGACCCCGGCCAGAGGCGCGGCCCCCGGACCGAGCGAGCGAGCGAGCCGGGTGCGCGGTGCGTGGTAGGTGGCCGCCGCGGGAATGCAGACTCGCAGCCACCCACGCGGGTGGGGACGAGGACGCGCCCCTCCCCCCTCCCCAAAGAAGGCCGGGACAGTTTGGTCCTAGCTCTCAGACTGAAGAAGTATTAGCCCTCTCTCCCCGGCGGCGCCCCGGGTCACTCAGGATGCCCCTGCCTGGCCGCAGCCCCCCTCTGTCCAGGGCCGAGCCCCTCTGCGCGGTGGGCATCGTTTCCCTCTAGTCGAGGCCCCCGCTCCGGATGGGCAAGGCCACTCAGTCCCAGGGCACCTTCTTTCAAATGCTGGGGAACCTGAGTCGATCCAGGTCTCTGCAAAGCGCTGTCGGCTGCTGGCTCTCTTGAACAGGTGTTTGGAGTGGAAAGTTTGTAAACACGAACTGACTCTACGGAAGGCCAGTTTCATCCCTTTGCTCAGTTGATGCCCTTGCTGGACCTTATGTCAAAACCTGGTGTTCCCAGCCACCTTCTACAGTTTGCGAAGCACACTTAGTAGTCACCTTGTGTGGCCTGCATGTTAACAGCGTTTTAACCTGCTTCTTGGGAAGCCAGCCCAAGGTGAATAGGCATTTCCGAACACAAATCAGACAAATGAAAATAGAGTGGTTGGCCTGAGCGTGGGTGGAGGGGCTTCTGGCATCAGCTTTACAAGCCATGAGGTGATCGGTGTCCTTGCTACGGAGGGGCTGACGCCAGGCTGGCTTTTCATGTGACTAAATGTCTTTTGGGACTAGAGTTGGCTGCTTTTCCAGCTTCAGATGGCAGTCCCATCTGAGGAAGTGTGGTTGCTAACTTCTGCCACCAATTTTGTTTTGTTTTGGGGCCTCAGCCGGCAGTACTCAGGGGTTACACTGTCAGGACTCACTCCTGAAGGTGCTCGGGGGACCATTTTGCTGTACTCTCTCTCTCCACCACCACCCTCGCCCACCCCATCAGTTTCCTATGTAAACTTTTGATTCCCTTGAGTGATGGCAGCTCCGTGCCAGAAATGGGGATTCCAGATTCCTGGGGCTGGTGCCCACTTGGGTTGTGACTCATTGTTGGACTCGAGGCTGCCGGTCTCTTAGCACCCAGGTCCCCCTCTTTGTAGATGGAGCTTGTTGCCAGACTTAATTGATGTTTGTAGAATGTTTCTGGGTTCCGGGATTGATAGAACCTGAGTGTAGACTCGGAAGGTTCTGTTAAGCTTGGGGAGGAAAGAAAACCTCGTTGACCTCCCCTTGCCAGGGAGAGTTCAGTCTCTGCTGCTTCGTGCCTGTTTGTTCTCCAGTGACATCCTAAACCTCGATCTGGATGGCTGCTCCTGCCTCTGGTTGTCTAAGCTGATTAACCACTACGCTTTGTCATGTTTCAGCTCAAGACTGCTTACTTGATGGTTTCTTTTCTTTCTTAATAACTGGAAAGGAAAGCTGCTTCACGTCTCTGAGGGGGTAGGTGAAATTGCGAGTTTTCTGTGTATCACTTCTTGGGACTTTCCAAGGTGCTGGAGGGGCCCAGTTAACTTAAACCTGTTGAAAGCCCTGACACATCACTTGGGTGTTCATGACAGCTAAGACTTGGGGAATGAGGTCTTGAGAGGCGGAAGTTGAGTAGAAAGGAACTGGCTGGGCTAGGAAAGTCACTTGAACTAGTTATGAATGGTTTGACTCTCAGAAGCGAAGCAAAAAACGCTCGAATCTTGGTCTGCAGGGGTGTGTGTGTGTGTGCATGTGTGTGAGAGCTTCCAGCAGAGTCCTTGCGTTTGTCAGGAGTCCAGAAATTGAGACTCAGTGTTAGGAGCTAGCTCTGCTAGTGTTTCCATGTGTTCCTTCGATAAGCCCGTATCATATTTGGAGTCAAGATAATTTGCTGTTTATAATGGCTCAGGTTTTGTACACCCGGCGTTATTCTGTGCAACCACCCACATCAGACACGCTGAGATCAAGATAGGGTCCATTTAATAGGGAAGAAAGCTGTGGTTAAGAAGGGCTGGAGGGATAGGTAGTGGGAAGGGATAGATAGTGCCTTGCACACCACTAATTCCCCACATCCCATGTGGTCCCCAAGTGCCACCCAGAGTGATTCCTGGGTGCAGAGTGCAGATACTCTTGGCTGTCACTAGGTGTGGCCCAGAAAGAAATGGAAATGAACTGAGTTTGCACTTTTACTTCTCTGGTAAAGACCTGATGCCTACTTTGGTAGACATTTTGTAATCAGATAAGTCTATTTTGTAATCAGATAAGTCTCAAAGTTTTATAAAATGGACATGGGGGGGGCTGGAGCGATAGCACAGCAAAGTAAGGCGTTTGCCTTGCACGCAGCCAACATGGCCGACACAGGTTCGATTCCCAGCATCCCATATGGTCCCCCGAGCACCGCCAGGAGCAATTCCTGAGTGCATGCGCCAGGAGTAACCCCTGAGCATCGCCGGGTGTGACCCAAAAAGAAAAAATATAAATAAATAAAATGGACATGGGCAGAATTAGGTGACCAACATATTGGCTTCTCTTCATAGCTCTCTAGTTGTATATGAAGCTTGGGACCCTAGATTAATTTTTTAAAAAAACCTTAAAAAAATATGGATAGTGGAGCTGGAAAGGTAAGTAGTGTGGGTAAAGCACTTGCCTTGTATGCTGCTGCCCCGGATTCGGACCCTAGCACCACACACAGCCCCCCCAAGCACTGCCAGCTGTGATTATTGAGTGCAGAGCCAGGAGGAAACCAAGCACAGAGGGTGTGGCCCAAAGTTTAAAATTCTATATAGAAGAGCAAAATTGGGAAATAGTATCAGGGCCGATAAAATAAATAGTTGGGCTGGTGAGCCTGGAAGGCCAGTGTATAATTAAATATTATGAAACAGTAATGTAGCGAGGAAGAGAGTGAGTGGTGGAAGTAATTTTCTTATCTCTCTTGAAGATTCGAGAAGAAATTTAGTTGCAACTGAAAGGACTTAAATAACAGTGAAGGTTGGGGTTTTGAAGATCTGTGTTATTTAGGAAATTCAGTTTATCAGAAAGGACAAAGGGCTAGATAGTTGTTCTGGGACAGCTGGTCGCAGAGAATGACTTGGGTGAACTCAGATATCAACAATGAAAGAAACTAGAAAAAGTTTGTGTTTTAGGTTTTTGACGGTGTTTAGATTTTGGGGTGAGAGCTTGGGAAGGGTGGGGTCCGAATGCTGTGCAGCCATTTTCCCCTCCCACCTACGGACAGTCCCCTCCTGCCCTGGTGCGGAACTTGATAACTGAGGACCAGGGCGCAGACCCGCTGACCTGCTGAGAGCACCAGGAGAGGACTGAGAAGCCGCACGTCACTGCTGGGTGACATGAGAGATGTTCCCTTGGGCTTTCTCATGCTTTGATTATGTGTTCAAATGTATGGCATTCATTTAGCCTGGGGAGAAGTCTTAGCAATTTATTACATTTCTCATCTTTCAAATTCAGCCATGCTTTTAGTAACATTCCCCCCCCCCCAGCCCCCCACGGTGTGCCAGGCACTGGGTATACAGTCAGTATAAACAGCTGTGACCAAAACAGCCCTGGGACCTGCTTTCAGGAAACTAGGAGTCCTGTGGGACAGAGACTTTAAACAAATGAACGCATAAATAAATAAGCAGGGATTGTGAGGAGAACTGTGGCCCAGAGCTGGGGCTCAGCCTGAGGAGAGGAGGCACTGCATGTGATCAGTGGCCTGACCTCTCTGAGGCAGGACTTGAAGATTAAAAGGGAATTTTTTTTTTTTTTGAGAGGAGGAGCACACAGTGCAAAGGCCCTGAGGCAGGGAATCTGGAGAGATTGTGTGATTAAGTCTCACCTGGAAAGTAGGGCTTTATTGAGGAGCAGGGGAAGCTGTTGCTGAGGGGAAAAAGCAGAGGGCTGGTGTGGTCTAGTTTGTCAAAAGTCGCAGTGGCCAGGGCTGGAGAGCTAGTATGGCAGGTGCTGGCCTTGTGCACGGCTAGCCCCGGGTTCAGCCCTGGGTGCTGCCTATAGTCCTCTGAGCTCACTCCAGGAGTGCTCCCTAAGCACAGAGCCAGAAGCCCTGAGCACACTCGGTGTGATCCCCAAACACACAGGTCACTCGCTGTTGGTGGAGGCTGAATTGAAGCAGGCTTAGCCTAAAATCAGAAAACGCAAAGTTGAGGGCTTGAGGGGTAGTGCAGTGGGCACAGCGCTTGCCTGGAATGTGGCCGACCTGGATACAATCCCCGGCACCCCGTATCATCCCCTGAACTGTGCCAGGAGTGATCTCCGAGCACAGAGCCAGGAGTCAGCCCTGAGCACCGCCAGGTGTGGCCCCCAAACAGAAACCTGGTGTTGCTCAACCAGGGCTTAGTCCAGGCTCAGTGCTCAGGGAGCATTCCTGGCCGGCTTGGGGGAACTGAGGCCTGCGGGGATCAGACTCAGTTCAGCCCCGTGCAAGACAAGTGCCAGCCTGCTGTCCTATCACCCCAGCCCCAGAAATTAAGAAGAATCATAAGAAAAAAGAAAGTAGAAAGCATTAGCACCAGTGTAGACCAGTGTTTCCTGGCCTTCCCCCAGGCCGCTGGGGTGTCACCTCCCTTGGGGTGACCTCACCTTGACCGGCTGCCGAGGGAGGGACACTGGTGAGTAGTCCTCTGCTGGGGCCGTCGAAACAGGGTGTGTGCGAGTGTGCGTCCCAGCCTGCAGTTCTCACACAGCCGGGTCTCTGTTTCATAAGAGCGCGAGCTGACGCCGGCCCTGACACACCTGAGGGAGGGCCTGGCTCCAAGGAATGCAGGACCAGGAGAAGGAAAACACACATGACTGGAGGAGAACAGGAGC